CTAGTACAGTCTGATATATTTTTCTATACAAAATCCGAAATCACAATTAGGATAAAAATATACCGTGTCAACAATATACGTAAAGTGATGCGATGTATAAAATGCCCGCATGGCGCTGTGATCCGTACGGACTTTGACTGCAGGGAACGAAACGGAAGTCCATACTCCGTACAGTGCACAGACGTTATCCCCAATGGGTTAATATCTGTCCCACATTATTGAAAGAAGATATGTAAATATAATATTTCTGGGTTAAAGTTCGATAGCCCTTGCTCTTATTTTTTTCATTTTTTTTTTCATTATTCTTACGTAACGTAAGCATTCACTGAATTTACTTCGTCCCATGCAATTATTATATTTTTTGCTGTAATATATAGGACATCTCATTTGAGTTATTTATGTTCTATTTTTTTTGTTAATGATATAGAAGAATGTCTAATATTTTTTTGTACCATTAACTGAGAATTTTGAAGAATTCATTCTAGAACATTTGCAAAATACATCTCAATCAGTCAGTGAAATAGAAAGTAGTAATATTTGCTCAAATATCGAATTTACTCGCCCAATGTATATGGAATCACATGAATTACTACTACGAACATTAAAAATGAACATTTCCTCTAACACGAGATATATCATTCAAGAAATATTATTCTGGTTTATGTTTGAGCATCTTTATTAGTTGCTAGGATAAAACTTCATGAAGATTGTACATGACACTCATTATGTAGACATAGAGAAAGATTATAGATTGCTGCAACATCTAAAATACCAATTAAGAAAGAATTTTCAACTGTATAACAAAAATATCGTGTTATAAAAAATGGAAAGCTAATGTTTCCCAAGGATTATTCAACCGGTTGTCTATTAGGATATGTAACAGTTGTCGATGTTTTAGCATAAGAAGAATATAGATGTATAAATTGGGTCCGAAAATTCATCATGTTGCTTCGAAGATGCTGGATAAATGTATAAAAAATATATGTTAGATATGTTTATGCAAAGTAGCACGTCCGTTATTGTTATAAACAAACAACGAATATTTATATATAGCAATAGAATTATCTCAGATGTGTATATCATATGAAACGATCCATATACTTATAGTATAACGCACAAACAAATCCTGCAGTTTGTTAATTCAAGTGATTCCATTATTGAGGGAACAAAGCTTTCTTTATTATGCATATTTTAGAAGTGTCGTGCTCAGTATCTTTGATAGAATTGTTGACTTTCCAAAATCTACACATAAATTGATTCATTCCTTTTCTTTTTTTACAACTCTTAAAAATTTAATTCGAATCCCTATTTTCAGTCAATCGAGCTTTTATTAATTTCTAACGCGGTTCCAAAGCCAACCGTCTTCAGTGTACAATTTTGTAATGACATTCTTTTATCAAACTGACTTATCAAAGATCCCTGAGTATGAAGCGTCAATAGCCAAGATATCGAAAAAATATAAATTGACGTCGAAACGTTGTGCTACTATTGTAGAAACTTTCTTATCAATTCTCTCGAATCATGTTATCGAAACTATGTATATTTTCTCAGGACGATCTTAAGAAATATAATTTAAACTCAATTCGCATGCTCGAATTCGCGCTTGCAATGAGCAGGATCCCAAGAATCTTGAAATCGTGTACACTTGATTTCATGCTTAACGTGTATCCGTTATAATTTCTTGATGCTCGAATCAAGTTCGAATTTAAAATCTTTAAATAAGATCACAAATACGAGTTGTTGCTGCTTCACAGCTAAGAATGCATTACTCACAAAATAATGATGATAGTGAAATTAAATTACGTTAAGAGGCTTTCAATAATTTATCCGCTTGTGCTAATGTGAGAGACCCTACGAGAGAGACCAGTGTACGGTCTAGCCATGTTATGGGGTTTGGATACAGGAGACCACCTTCATAAAATCCCAAATGTCCGCCATGAGCCAGTTCCACATACAACGTGTTTGGACGAGTTCCTGAAACAGAAAAATGATACAAAATGTTTATGAAACTGTAATGAGTTATAAATGCATAATGATTGCTAGTACACACTGGCATGTTCCTTGATAGGTTCCAGTAACATCTCAGGTACAATGGGATCATCCAATGCGTTGATGAATACCATAGGTGTCGTAATGTTATCTAAATAGAACAAGGAGCTACTCCACTTGTACATTTCTTTCACGGATCTAAAGTTATGGAGCTGTACAATAATTAATATACAAATTAATATAACTGAAACATAAATTGATATTTAATAATATTTATGTTAAGAAATATTTTACTTTTCTAGTGTATGCTTCATCAAGTTCCGGTAAAGTTGCAGCAGAGATGATATCCCATTCGTTTAGATTATACTTTTGTTTAACTTCTTCAGATAACAAGATATTTTTATGTTTCAGTATAATATTCTTCACAGATTCTGTCATTATATACAGGTAGAAACGTCGAAAATTCTGCCAGTTAAGTAGGAACTTTGTACCTCTATACATAAATTGAACAGAAAGAAAAAAATCTATGAGTACGTCACTTTTCACAGTCATCCTTTTTCGCAAGGAATTTATTTATGAAAAAATGATATGTACTTACTCGATGGCATTATACCCTTGGCAAATAGATATGCCACCAATTATATTGGATAACTTATTCGATCTTTGTTCTCCTAAGTACTTGGTCACAAGATTACCACCCAAGCTAAAGCCAATGCAAATTATTTTTGTATTCGGATGCTTCTCCATCAAACTTTGTAGCATCGTGTGATAATCATCGGTGTGACCTGTAATACGCAAATCGAGCCAAATGTCAATCAGGAATTCAATTAACACCATCTTGATTAAACCTCTTGAGATTCTTAAGGCTCTCACAAAGTAGGCTCTATTAATATATATCATTCAAGGCAACCGCACAAAAATAATGTTCTTCTAGAAATTACTGGAAGTTATACCAGACCACTTCTTCGGAAGATAGAAAAAAAAAAACTCTGCATTGTTCTCTTTTTCTGTAATATTTTCATCAATTAACAGATCAATAAAACTATATAATTCATAATTAACAATGATACGTGTGAGAAAGTTATAATCGATTTTTTCTTCAGTAATAAAGATAACAATAAATAGAAAAAATAATAAAATTGAACACAGATAAATAAAAGTCAACATAAAAAATATTCCAAGGTCGAAATGCACGTAAATAATGATTAGAGCGTAAAGTCGTTAATTTAGCTTGGTAATATTGTAAATGTACTAGTATTTCCATAATAATATGCTATTGCGTATATATACGTACCGTACGTAAAAATTCGCGGTGCAGTGATCTTGACACTAGAAAGGACTCCAACGTGATTAAGTACTGCACATCGATACCCATGGCACTGTGCAAAATGTACGAAAGTTCTGATATAAACACTTTCGGAACTATTACAAATCCCAGGACAGATGGCAATTGTTACATCATCTGTAGTAAAATAAAATATAAAATATTATATCGATTTCATATACATGCAGAGCACAGAGGTTCATTCTTATTCCTAAAACAAATTAATATTTTCCTTCCTTTAAATGCAAGCCAAAGACTTTTCAAATATTTTAATGACTCATTAACATGTCGATATTGTTATACCAACAGATATCTGTTCATAAGCTTAATATGTATGCTAAATATTGACGTTATTCTTGGATAGATATATGTATATCGTATAGATATACGTATAGATTGCTTCACTTGACCATTAAACTTTATTAGTTTTACTAAGCTTCCTTATCTTTTTACCAAGAAACGTTAACTTTAATTATATCGCAAGTTTATCAGTTATAACACGCTTCAAAATCGCGAAAACTATTTAATCTACACCGTGTTATAGCAAATTATCTGGTCAAGGTTTCTTTAATCTTCAATTGGTACGATAGAATCAAAATGATTTGCATTCCTATAGGGGACTGTATTGATTCGTAGGCTATCCTTTGTTTCAGACATAGCGCTTTCAATCTTTAATCTTTATTGAACTTTATTCTGCAAGTGTGAGAGTTGAATGATCAAAGAAAGTCAAAGTCGAAGTTACGCTAATTAAAACTCAATCATCAAAACTGTTTCGACCACTCGCGGAGAGACGCGATCGCGAGGAAGCACGCCAACGGGAGTCGTAAATTCCCGTCACAATTATTCCAATCGAAAATGCTAAGATCCCTAATTGACGCACCTTGGTATGTAACCAATGAAACTATACACCGCGACCTCAAGATACCCACCGTCGAAGAAGAAATAGCAAAATATAGCGACAGATATAGCAAAAGAATCCCTCGAAACACCGAAACCCCCTAATAACTGGGCTACTTGATACGACGGACCAGATTCGCAGGCTGAAAAGGCACTACCCGCTAGACCTAAACGCTAGATTCAATTAGCTATCTAAATTAAGTAATATTCACTTATTTATAACTTACTTGTAAATTATACTTATCTATAATAAGTACTAACTTATTATAAATAATCAGCCATGTCACTGCGCCACGCCAGAAAAATTACTAAAAATTCTCAACGCGAGAATTGATTGTAATTTTAATAAATAAACAAAAAAAAAAATCTGGGGTCTGTCTGGCCCGCGGTGTATGGCCGGGTCCAGGTAGAGTGTTGCACGACGCAACAAAAACAAATAATCGAACTGTATTCTATTGCTTCATTACATCACTCTATGGATGCATACGTCCATATTTAACATAAGATAAGCGAAGAGAACTAGCAAATTACAGAATTTCTTTCAGTTGCAACCAATAGAACTTCAATATGAATTTTTCATAGTATCCTCTTCTGATTCAAGATTTTCAGTGAAACTGACCTTCGTAGTCGTTAGTTAGTGGTTGATAAAGATCATAAGTGAGAGTGGTCTCATCCGGAAGTCCTATGTACACTCGTTCTCCAATCGGCCAAGGGCAACGGACGCGACCAATAATACTGTGAACGATGGTCTGTACATGGCCACTGAAACCCCATAGCCTTGTTGGTTTGTACCTGAAATACATAAACGAGCGTGATGTAATATTTTTATCATTGAAACATATCACGAACGGCGACTTCACCTAGTTTCCAAGCAAACAAATCTTACACAAGATGCATTTTCAATTTCGCGATACGATTTACATCTCGAAGGCGCTTGGAATACAATCGAAGTTCATAAGTAGCGAGTTGACAAACGATTTACATCTCCAAGCTACTTCCGATGAAGTTACAAACGTACATAGAGCATTTCATTTCCCTTGTTATTGTGTAATGATATTATTCGATATTTACTTATAATTCATCTCTTCTAAATTTGCAGTTTACCAGTTTATAGTTCGTAGTATCACGAGGAAACAGAAAATATTTAGAAATCACGTAGTAAGTAAAAGCAAAACAAGCAGTTATAATACTTGGTAGATCTTTATTTAATCTATTTTGTATTCAATTTGAGGAAAATTGTCGCATGCATGGACAGTCTAGTCATAAACCACTACTTCCCTGCGGTATCAATAAATTTAAGCAACTTTAATGTCTTAAGAATTTAAGTAGTTTTTGAAACGTGAAAAATCTTAAGCAAAAGTAAAACTGAGAAAACTACTAATCACTGTAACAAAAGATGGAAAACAGGTCACGGTGGTAATTCGAAAGCAGTCATAAACTATTTTAGGGATAAGTATATGCGTCTAATAACCAAGCGTAAAATTTCTTCCACACTTTGTACATCTCTGACTTACTAACCCGTGCAACTCAATTTCTTTTTCGACTCGTTGATCTGGATCTATGGTATACTATGTGCACGCAGACTCGTGTTTAATTTATTCTTCAATTCTACCAGGCCAGGAAACAACCATTCAACGCGCGTGAAAGTGTGTTTCTCTTCTTTCGTAGCAATTCTACGCAATTTTTACCGGGAGTAAAAGCGAAGTTAAACGTGACAGCGAAACATTAAACTTCTTCGTTGCAACGTACAAAGAAAGAATCGCTAGTGGATCAGTGGAGCATATACGAAGCCGTAAAAATTACTGGCATCAAGCAGTCAGTACTGGTGGAAAATATAACCCGGTCCGTTAATGGCACGGCAAAGAAGATCGCGGTTATTATATTTCTGTGGAAAGGTTTCCTTAGGGGCATCGTAGCCTGATCCAAGAATGCCTACGTTTTTCACCCAGGTATTAAATAAACTGTACTATGACGCTATTCAAACGAGGACAATGACTGTTTCAAAGGATTTACGACCTTACGAACCAAAGTAGATAAGATGTAAAATTTTACACCGATTTCTACTTATTTCAGTGGGTAATGTACTATTCTTTTGATGAAATATAAAGGCCACGTTCTTTGTGAACGCCCAATTACTGCGAACGTAAGGAAAATTTTACAGATTCGACATTCCATTTTAATTACTTCTTCGCTAATAAGATACGTGCGAAGCATTCTTCGATATCAACACGTCATAAGTATGTGTTGTATCGTCGATGGAAGAGATATGTATAATGCTTATGATGAAATCATCAAAGTTTGCTTGTATGATTCAACAACCGAAATAGTCATCGGTGACATATAAAGGAATATGTTGAGTGCAGGATATTTTCTAGAATTATATCATTAAATTCAGGATTCTTCCTTTCTTTGCAATATACTTGAAAAAATCGTTTACAGTATACAGTTTGGTAAATTGGGATTCTGAAAATACAGGATTTTCTACTTTTCACTTGATGCATATATATTACAAAGAAATTTCATATGCCAATCATATAAATGACTTCTGCAGACCGAGATTCCAGCTACTAACTACGTACATATACGTGCGACTAGATCAACGTGTGTCACCATGTAACGTATTAATTTACAATCTCGTCGTATCTCTCCGACCAACAATAAGTACGTCAAGACCAAGTATTTTTCTTCTTTCTTTACGAGTTAGTGTAGTTTAAAATTTCCTATCGTTTAATTAGAAGCACAATAATAATGGTGCTGGAAAGTAGCATTACTCATAAAGATAATCATTGTTGACAAATCAAAGATACAACGAGCAAAAATCATTCTACGATTAAAGTATCGCGACTTTCTGTTGCGTGTTGAGGCAAATGAAATTCAGAATGTCACGCAACAGAGTAAAATTTCGCTGTCGCGTACAGATTGATCGAAGAAAAAGGTGAAATTCTCTTCGTCCCTTGTAAATTATGAATATGCATTCGTGAAGTGTTTCAAGTCTCCTGCGATTAAATAAATAGAATTATGTATTTACGATTTAACGAGATTGCTCTTGAGATATATTTTTCTTTACTATAAGAATTCTTTTTAGCAAGTGGTTGCAAACAATCACGGTGACAGAGAGGGCTTTTACGATTCACACGAATGTAATTAATAAGACATGTCGTTAAATTTTTAATTAGAAGCTGGACGGCCGTTAATGGAAGGAATTATACGTTTCTCACTATCAATCTTCTCTTCGTACTCGTATGTAAAGAAGTTACGTACGTTTTACAACATTTGCTGCTGCTTGCAGTCACGGCCAGCGTATAATCGATCAAAGGCGGGTATTAAGTTTGCTTTTTATTTTTTTATGTGTTACGATAACGATTCGTGCGACAGGTTGTTACATATCAAAATCGAGCGATAAATGTAGACGACTGTTTATTCGCGGGAAAACGTATCACGAAAACCACATCTTATCGTTTTGGAAAATTTCTTTTCGATTTAAGATTGTCGAAAAGTGAACATCCTTTTCTACCAACTAAAATTTCTTCCTGACGTTACGCCATCATTTTTCATCGAAGGAGGTTCATCTAAAAAATTACAAGAAAGAGATAAGACAAAGAATTTGTCACAATTTTTTAATTAAAGGAAATAACTTCACCGAGTGCAAAAGTTTAAATATCCAACGCAGAAAGTTGACGATTATCCACAATATCTATAACTTATATGTACAAGGATTTTATAAAAATTGGAGTGTAACAATAGTCGTTAAATCCACATAACCAGAAACAAATTGTGCAATAGTAATTGAGAATTCAGTATGTACACGATTCGGTTTGCAGGAGAGGAAAGGGATCGAGGTAATTATCAATTTCCTGCCTATCTTTCGGAAATTAACTCGTTCAATCAGGGTTCGATCACTGGAACGACTTTCGATCGTCATGATGTGAAACTCTGCCTGATTGAAGATGATTCCATAGTATGTAAATGCATACCATTACGAAAAGGGATTTCGTTCTATAAAAGTAAAAGTGAATACAACGAGATTGTTAAGAAACGCGATCACTCGATAAAGTGAAGGAAGTCTCTCTGTGCAAATGCGTCGGTTAAATAGCTGATTATTAGTCAACGTCGGCTTTTTTGGAATCGAAGATATCACGGAAAGCATTTGCATCCGCAATCAGAAAAATATGAAACCAATGCAGTCTTTGGTGAGTATCATATCACGAAGTTCTAAAAATACATATGTAAATATATGAAATATTTTTTTCTTCTTGGAATTAATGAGGTCGCGATTACATGAAAAATTACGTTTTCTCTTGCACGCTACAATCTGTGGTTTAAGTCTTTCGTATATCATAAGAAATAAGTCTCCTAACGTATATAATAATACGATTCTACTAATAATAAAATGGAACAGAGGAATCGCTGTTTTTTTCACTTTCTTGAACTGAACTATTTAAGAGATCTTCCACTGTTGTAATTATCTTCTGTTTATTACACGTAATCTTCTTTCAGAAATATTGATATTTAAAAAGCGTCTTGATATAAATATTTTCAAGATTTCTTTAATATATAAAATCGATTTACGGTAAAATACGAAGAAAGTTATGCATAAATCTCATGCAATGATAACTTGTTGAACGTTCAACTTGCTCTGATACGTCCGTTTCGGTGAATCATTTTTTTTCCAGAAAAGAACTCCTACATTTTTCCAGCGAGCTCATGTTTGGATATACAAGTGAGCAGTTCAACTTGCATACCTCTTCTTCTTTATTTTAATCCAGAACATGATCGATGAATTATCGGTTCCTTAAAAATTTCGATATGAACCATAATTTACAGATACGGTAGTTGGATTATTCCACTCTTTGTCTGTGTAATTCCAAAGACATTTGTATTAATAAAACGACGCTTTAAGTATGATTTGCTTTAATTTCAGATAAGCTCTCAACAACAATGTGTAGCGTTCGTTGCAATGTTCTGATAAATGTGATGCAAACATACTTAAGCCATTTATCCAGTGAGGTCATAGCCAAGAGCAGAACAAGACATTATGCAATACTAAAAATGATAGAACAATGCTAACAATTGCACTATCTGCATCCTTTTCCAAATTATATCATCTCGATCCGATTTATCTGCTTTACCTCTTCTCACGACAATTTTGTCCAAAATTTCAATGAGATTTATTCAGAATGAAATTTTAATTTTACATGTACTTTGATTTGTAAATATCTAACAAGGTGAGATACTTCTCCGGATAAATGTTACAGTAATTTTAAATCATTGATTATAGCGACACAAATGTATATGATGTATAAGCAATTATTTTATCGTGGAAGATTATTTTTAAAACGCATACTACTTTGAAGGAACTGGTTAAAGTTAATACAGCTTGCACAAAGAAATTGAAGTAAATTACTAAACTTTTTTTCTTGTATTTCCATTTTTGTGAATGAGAACATATTTTATGTTCAGGAGGTTACAATATAAGGTTACTAAAACTTATTTATGCTTTTCTTACAGGTGTTTATTATTAATAACTAGATTATGGATATTTTTGCACACTCGTATTTTTGTAAATTTAATTTACAAAATGGAAGTTAGATAGAAGAAATACATAAATATTTGCAGTTTTCTAATAAAATAATAAATGACAAACTGTACAAGCGGCACGTACTGGTTTACTATCTATATTATATAGATTACAAAATATGTAAAATGTAGATATTATCAGAGGAATGTGACCGTGGTACAACGGGGTTGACATTAAGTTTTCTATAACGCGTATTAAGTGATGTAATTAAGTAAATTGAGAGGGTCATTGTCTATTAGTGAAAACTAGATCAGGCCCGTGCTAAGCGATTAAAATAAAACTTACCATTCAATCGTGCCTGGTAAGTTTCGCGAATTTTCGGGTTTATCGATCGATAAATCGTATTCGAGACATTTAGTTATCGAGAATTTATCAAGTATAAATCTGATTAAAAAATAAAGGGTCCATTGTATAAAATTTGTCACGTGTAATTACTTATTTGTATGCACGCAAGAAAAATATCCGGCGTACCGAGGTAACCTAACCTCACTTTCTACCATGAACATTATGCAGCGAGATTCAGAACCTGGAGTTTTGCTAGTGGTGAAATAATTGATGAAATAAAAAAAGAAAGATTGTTGGAAAACTTACGGTTCTGTGATGACAGGAGCGATTTTAAGGATCGTCGTTAGGAATGACTGATCTTTACAGACGATCAATGGCTTCTGCGGTGCACTGTTTACGTTTAATATCCTGAACAGGATACACAGGATCACGGCGAACACGGCTAACAGCGCCGTGGACATGTTTCTCCGTTGCTTATGCCACAAAAATTCGATTTCTTCCTTTTTACGTTCCACGCCAATACCGAATGGATATTGACGTACGAAAAGGAATGTTTAAGTTGATTGGTTGCTCCCTTGTGCAATGATATATGTATATGTATGTATGCTGGAGGACTACGAAGGACCTTCGGTCACTACTGAGTCGGCGATGCACAAAATACGTGATACTCGTCGCGAGGACTGTATGCGACTGTATTTCGCGTTTGTTTTACCGGCACTTGACGGTCGATTTGCGCATGCCTACCAATATACATATGTACACCTAGGTTCACGGAACCTCCATCTGTACGCGTCGGTCGAAACTTCGATTTGGATTATGGGAGACAGAGCCAAAAGTCAGACCCAGCTAGATAGACGATTCCAAAACACAAGTTAAATTTTCAGATGATTCTGCTTATATATATGCACATACGTACACGGTCAGAGAGTTGTGTCTCGAATGCCGCGAATCGCAGCTGGTTCGTGGCGCTAGTTCGCATTCGCTGTTATTTAGAATCCCACTAGCGTTATGGCACTACTTTCCTCTCTTTCTTTTCTCCTCTCAAAAAGTTCCGCATAATAATTTTTTAAACTATATTGTTAAATGTACAGATACAAGGTAGAAATTAGGTTTGAATTTTTGCATGTAATATTTAACCATAAATTTTAATGTTGGCTATACTGAAGAGTTTAAACAGAAAATGATGTCAAGTATCCAGAGAGCAAAAAATATCTTTATTCATGGAAAAGAACGTAAATTGTTGTAAGTGCTAGAATAAGTGAATTTAGTACCTAGGGCCATTGTTAGAAACAGCTAAAATCATGTACAGTATCCAAAAAAAAGTATTTGCACTTCACCATATTTGTAATATAATATTTACATACTAATTAGTTAGGTTTAAGTATACTAAATTTTATACCCTTTAGTAGTACTTTTATAGAATTTTAAAAATTTGATACTATGAAACTGAAATACGGAAACTGATAATTTATCGTTTTATTGGAAAATAAGGGTATGTGCGAATACTTTTTATAGTCACTATATATCAACTTTAAACCAATATCTTTTATTTACATTGAGAATCTTCACTTCCATCATTTGCCACTTCAACTCTATAATTCAATGCCAACAAAAATTGTTACGAGTATAATTTACTGAATTATGTTATGTTGAAATTAAAATTACTAAAAATAAAATGTTCACTTTGAAATATTTCACTGTAACGAACAATAAATGTCCCCACAATTACTATATAATTAAATTTTTATATTTCTCACACATGAATAATGGAAAGCGACTATGCTTTGATAAGGACGTCCGTACATTGTCCCCTTACGGCAAAACGATTCTATTCGCGTTTTCGAAGCACGGTCGAATCTTCTTCGAGGCTGCGAACGATTCACGAAGGTAATCGCGAAATATCGTGTCACTGACCCGTTATATTATTTGAGAACACTATAGGAATTCTTGAGCCACAGTTAAGGTTAAGGTCAAGGTTGTTCGGTCTATTAGCTGGATCGATACTTCGATAATTAGTCGATGCGGGAACGATTTCTATTTTACGGGTCGATGTCACAAAATGCGATTGTTGCACAGTTTTAAAAATCGCGTTGTGCAGAGTGGTTGGTTTTGCAGCTTCGTATCTTAAAATATTTTTAATAATTATTAACGCAGTGACTGCCACGCGAGTTTTATGCATGTATCTTATCCTGGGAGCCACAATAGATTGAGATATACTCTACTATAACATTCATTTTTGGAAAATATATTATATTTGCTGATTTTTTTTGATAATGTCATCTAAATCATTCACATCTTTGAAAATATTTTAGCCTATGAAAGTTATCTTATTTTAATCAGTTTACAAAATATAATAAAACGTGAATAATTTGTTACTTCAATTTGTTTAACTGTCCATAAGTGTATCTTTTATATATGATATATCAAATGTTTTTGAAAAAATGAATGAAGATTGATGATTAACAGATACTATTAAGTGATACTTGAGGTAGTTCAAAATGAGTGCATGACACTCCCATAATTGAAAAATTCATTGAAAAACCAATGCTTTGAATTTTAATTTGCTTCCAACAGAAATATTATGCGATATAACTGATAAACGATCGCACGTACTCTTTTACGTCGTAATTCTCAGATATTTGAAATATATCGTTGCAAAAGAGTTGAAATTATCGATGTGTGTATATGTGTCTGTGTCATAGCAACCATTATTGAAATAACCGCGTATCTAGTAACGATTTATATATAGGATGATATAACAACTCGGTGATGCTTCTCGTCATTAAGATGCTTAGAAATGATATAGAATTTCATGTTGTAATTTGAATCATCTTTTACAAAACTACTTGTATTAATTCATCCAATTAAAGAGTAAGATGCGAGGAAAGAGTAAAAAGAAAATGGCCAAAAATAATGGCAAGAATGAAAAGAAGGGTAGAAACGGCAAGCACAGCAAAAACAACAATGGTGGTAAAAATAAGGGAACAAAAAGGTCAAGAAAGAGTGGAGGAAGGGCAAAATTTACTATGGATATCTTTAATGAAGAGGTCATGGAAAATGCTTATTATACTTGCCATAATATTATGGATGTATTGAAGTGTAGAGGATTCCCTTGGCCTGAAGCACAAAAGAAGAAGAAGAAGAAGAAGAAGGGGAGGAAGTGAATAATAATCACCTAAAATGACCAGATATTTGTATGATAAGGTATCAATAAAATATATATATATTTTTTTCATAGAATTCACTCACGTTTTAAATATTCAGAAAAATATATCTATAATACTCTGTGTAACTACATTTTCGACGTAAACATTATAATATATGTAGTATTTAGACATAACAAAATATTTTAATCGTCAATCGTCATCCGTACTTTCTCTTTCCATTGCCCCAACAATGAACTCACAATACTTTTCTGTATCAAATTCTGTATGATTAATCATGAACGCTCCATTGAACACACAATGGACCGTCACTGTCTCTGAATATTGTAAATCCGGTAGTAACTAGATAAAAATAAATTTAATATCATTATTAGATCAATTATTTGTATAATTGTATAGAGAATGATTAATATACACTACCTTTGGTGTGAGTAAAAAATACTGAGAACTATTTGCTCGTCCAGTCATTTTCACAAGCAAATTAAATACTCTTCTTTCATTTACAGCATCCATGCCCTGTGATGAAACAGAAATGTTAGAATAAAACGCTAATTGTATAAAATTCAATAAGAATACCTGATTAATTTCATCAACACAGCGAAATGGTACTCTTGACAATTCCTGAAGTGCAATCATATAAATAGCAGTAGTTACAGCTCTTTCTCCACCACTTTGATGATATCTTGTTAATTCTTGTAATTGGTCGGTATTTCTGAATTTTACCCTAATCTTGAGACCATACTGATCAAATTCCATCTGTAAGCATTGAGATCTTTCTAAGTTCTCAAATAATAAGTATATCAGCTATTTTATTTAATGGTAACTCACATGATTCTCTGGTTGTGCCAATACAACTTCACCAGCACAATCCATTGCTGAGAAATACATACTGAAATTAGAATTAATTTTTTCAATGGTTTGTGATAAAGGCGTTAACCATTCTTTCCGTAACGATTCTATATTTTGTGTAGTTTTTTGTAATTCTTGTGTTTTACTCTGAATCGAATCTTTTAATTGGTTTATATCTTGTTCTACTTGCTCATATTCTTGTAATATCTGAAATTAAAGTGGATAATCAATTCATTTTTTATCTGTCAAACTGTATATTTAACTGTAATCTTTTGAAGCTCACATTTTCTCCATCTATATTATTTCCCATACAAAACATTTTTGCTTGCGCGATATTCAATTCATTATTAATTTCCTCTATGGTCGGCGGCAATTTATTGAATATCTTTTTTATGGGTGCAAACGCACTGTCCGAGGCACTGATACCATTGGTAGTTTGCAATGCTTGATTAAATATTCTTTGTACTTCGTACTTCAGAGGTTGTAATTCCTGGCATAATTGCTTCACTTTATCTTCTGCTTCCTTGAGTCGCTCTCTTAAATCGTGAGAATTGTTTATTTTCATTCTCAAAGATCGATTACGCAATGTTAATACATAGTCGGTTGTCTCACGGTCCATAATGCATTCAACAGACTCTACTAATTCAGTATTGTATGCTTTATATATTTTTATTTGCTTCTCCATAATTTTCTGTGGAATTTATAAATGCATATATATATATATGTATTATTTTTTTAATAATACAAAAAATTATTTAATCTTTAATAGAACCTTTATTTCTTTAGTAGAAGATTCTTTTATTTCTTCAACAGTGGTTCGCCCATTTTGTAAATCTACAACTTTTTTCTCCACTATATATATTTTAGATTTCAGAGTTTGTATTTGTTGAAGATCTTGCTGATATTTGTTTCTGGTAGCTTTTATTTTATCTAACTCTTTATTTTGTTCATGTACTTGCTCATCAAGCTGTTTAAGTTTATTACTTTCCTTGTTTTTCTTCTCTCGTAATACTTTCAATCTGGAAGAATATTTTAATTATAACTTATTCAAAATATTATAACTTTATCAAATAAAAATATCAACAAACTTTTCTTCAATGTTTAACATTCTTGATCTATCTAACACAATAGATAACATTCCTGTACCCGATACTGGTTGCATTCCGATAGATTTTTCTCCAGTGTACTTAGATCTATTTACCATATATACATTATTTTCTAAGAAATAAAATTAAGAAATAATGATCTCAATTCTATTCATTGCAATATACTAACGTATATCAATTTACTTACGACTAAAGTAACAACGTATATTGTTAGGTATACGATCGATGTTATCATCAACTTGATTTTTTCCTATGGGTATATTGTTTAAATTATACATAGACACTAAATATTTCATAATGGTGCTCGGAGCTTCAATCAGCGATACTAAGTAATGAGTAAAGCCAAATTGTTTAATGTGTTGCAATGGAACAATTGGATTCATAGAAACATCTTTCGCAGGATCGGAATGTACAACGTTTACTTGTAAATTGTGCTCGTCCCTTAAGTAATGCAATAACATGTTCATATCTTGTTTATCTTCACAAACAAATGCTATCATGTCCCGAAATGGAATGATATTTTCCAAATACTTCGTGTAAGAAGCTTCCTTCACGTTCATATTAAGTAATATAGGTTCATGTATCATATTTGAAAATTTGTTACGATTTTCCCTCAGCCACTGCACTGCTTTATATGTATCAACACTTCTCTCCCTTAACAATTGTAATCGTTTTGCTTCAATATTAAGAGCTTGTAGTTCTGCTTCTTGAGCTGAAAATTGTATTTTGTTATATTTAAAAGCAACAAAAGTAATTTTAATAAAATAAAATAATTTAAATAAAATTTACATGCAATTTCAAGGTTTAGCTGGTCTTCTTTTTGTTTTGATTCTGAAGCTTGGCCTACTAACATATTAATGATATTCCTTTTCTTTTCTATGTCGGATATTATTTCTTGGCGCTGTTTCACTAAAATTTCCTCTGTAAGATATAACATATTCTGAAAGTTTTATATTGTCTTAAAATATATTATCCCAAAATATAGCATAATTAGAATAGAACAAACCAGATCCAATATCTTTCAACATTAGTAATAAATCGTTATCAAGTTTTTTTTTTTGTTTCTGTGCAATATCAATGTCGTGATCTCGAGCCTCTTCTATTTGAATTCTTTGCTTGCATGAATTTTCGCAATCTTTAACATCATTTTCGTAGTCTACAATATTGTCCATCATTTTCTTCAGTTTCATATCTCTGATCTTGACTTTATTTTTCTAATTGTAAAAAACATAGAATATATTTATATTTTATATTTATATTTTTATTGTTCAAACTATGTGATCTTACATGGTCTGAAAGACAAGTTTGAAGCAATTGAATTTCTGACTTCATTTGTGTTATTGCGTCATTAACAGGCTTTATTTCCGCTTCTAAATGTGCCACTTCAGCTTGTGCAGCATTCTTCATGTCTTTTAACTGCAAACATTAGCAATTATAAAATAATGATATGAAGTAATGATTGAATCATAAAAATATGGATCCAAATAATGATGTAACGATCACATAACCATTACTTTTATAATTTTGTATTCCTACCTTAACTAGTTCTTTACGTCTTTGTTCATATAGTATCCATGCCTTCTTCTGTTTCAAACGTAAAATTTTCTCCTTTATTAATTTCTTTTCTTTTATACTACTGACACTTTCTTTTAAACTATCGTAAATCTGAGTTTTCGATTCTAATGACTTTTTTTTACTTTCAATTTGTTTCTCTAAATCCTTATGATCTATCCTATATTGTATCAAGTTTTTGTGACGTTCGACTATAATGGGATTACAAACAGATCTTTCTGTATTTTCTAACAACTCTTGTGCATTCATCTTTGAAAAATCTTGTACTTTATCTTGTGGGAGAAATTGGCAAAGATTATCTATCTGAAAGTAAAAAGAAGTGAAAGTAATTTTTATTCAAATGAATATTTCTTATATACACATACCTGTATGTTAAGACTTGTTGTTAATTCCTGTATTTCTTTAATACCTGTTTGTCTATTATCAAGGAACCAGAAAGATTTCCCGCATTTGTTAAATATTCTTCGAATAACAATATCGTTGCCTTTCCCATTTTTAAGATGAATTTCAATCTTTGCTTCATCACATCCTTTTTTTATATAATCCGCAACATGAATAGCTCGACCAATGGTGGTAGGTTTACCTCCCAATCCAAGCACAATCGCACAAACAATTGTCGATTTACCAGTGCCATTAGGGCCAATAATAACATTTAAGTTCCTACCAGGTTTTACACAAACTTTATCATAAGTCCTGTAATAAAAGAAAATTTTATACATATTTAAACTATTATTTCTTTATAAGCATTAAAAAAGAATGTTTAATTAGTACTCACACAAAATTTTCTAAATAAATATAAGTAATTATTCCTTTATCAATATCGTTATTACTCATGATGTTTCTTTGTACAAACCTTTAAATAAATTACATGAATTCATTATTGAGAAATTACTATTTAAGCAACTATTATATGTTTCATGATAAGAACATAAGAAATAGCAATTACTATATCTCATTAAAATTAATTCATAGAATTCTACTAATTATTTACTTATACTTCAAGTTACACGAGAGGTTTCAGTGGCAAGTAAACATAACCTATTCAAAACAAATACATTCGGCTCCAAAAAATGTAACTATTCATAGGTGTAACTTGTAGTTGTATATGTTTGAACCACTTTACACATGTACAAAAATATATTGTACATAAATATATTATAATATATATAAACATTACATAAATATATGTAAATTATGCAAACATATTTATTTAAAATAATAATATAAAGCATAATAATATAATTTCCTTTTGAAATTATATACGAATAATACATATTTGTATGATTAGTACTTACAGTTCCCTATACAATATTATTAATATTGCACAATTTGTTAAGAAATTACAGATTTATTTATTAACATTTGCGAAGTTCCTTTACTATTAATTTATGTTGTCCTTTGCTATTAATTTATATGTAACAAAATAATTAAATTATGTGTAATTTTAATAGAATGGTTATAGCTTATATATAAGCGATAAAATATGACAAACCTATTTAAACGTGTCTGAACTCCTCTCTCTTCCAACTCAAAACTGTATGTTCCTTTTAACAATAGAAAATGATTTTTTTATCAAACTATAATGCAAATAACAGACCACTATATTTAGTGACAGTATTAACTACAGGAAATTGACACATAAACTACGCACAAAGTAATGACGTCAAAAGATATAATTTGAATTGATAAACTTATTCTAGTGAGTAAATTTAACGCGAATGTTTCCACTATCATAGTACTTTTCATAAACGAAACATACATACATATGTTATTATGACTCAACTTATCATTAATACTATGTTTGTAACGAATATAAAAATCAGATAATAACCAAAATAACGATTCTAAATATTCTAATGAAGACCCTCTTTGAAGATATTGTCATCTTCTAAAATATTTTCAATAAAAAGCATTTCACAGCTGATAAAAATACGAAGTAAGAAATAAAATTGATAAATAGTGCATCATGAATTACTCTCATTTCGCTTTATGGATCAATTGTAATCACTATAATGCTATTACTACCATATTTCCTGCAAGCCTTTTATGTTACGAAACACTTTCCGTTAGTGGGTTGTATTATTCTTTTCCATAAACCATAACATTTATACTTCTTACGGTAAGAGATATTTTTCCTTCAGGATAGTATAAAACACGATTTCTAAGGCGAACGTAACTTTCGTATAAAAAATACAGTTTCGCTTGCTTCGTGAAGAATCTAAATATCTACATAAAAAATTACTAAAAACCACATTGTTTTAGCTCAGGTTCTTAAAATGTATAATCGATCAACGAAATTCGAGAGAAGATCAGTTAAAAAGTGTAAATCATGGTCGTCGTACTTCGGTAGTTACACATCGTTAATAAGCCCTACTGCTTCCATCAATCGCTTCATGGGATTTTTACCATACAAACTCAAAGCATCCAAACTCGTATACTCGAAATCATACTCCGTTTTCTCTACAATCTCCATCATTATTTATTTGAGCTGCGCATCTCTTGCTCTGTACGAAATGAACTTTGTTTCAGAGAATTTCTTGACAGTGACAGCTAAATTGCATTTTAATTTAATATTATGCTGCGGTCCCATGATTTTCATTATGAATTATGTTAAAAGTATGTCAATGATCCGAGTGATGAATCGCGTCTCGAATGTTTCTCGTATACTGCCTTCAGAAATTTTTTGTGGAGTGGCTACAAGAATTCTGATAAAAGATACTCTGTTCCTGATACTACTAGTGAGCTACATCCCACACATTATCTACCTCTACAGAAATAATATTTTTGGTTACACGTGTTGGTATACTTTTTTCGGTGTCATCGCACTGATTAGCTTGTACACGAATAACGTATACGTGCTAAATGCCTGTTTTAAATACATAAATGATTCTTTAGTGCAAGTGAAGGAAATTCTAGTGAATGATGAGCCTCATCTACTCAGAAGAGTCTATCATATGCAGAAGAATCCTATATTCTTGCCGAAGTTGAGGACTCTTAAAAAGCAACATCTAGACATGAGCGAACTCATTCAGCTACTGAATAGCACGTGTAGCATGCAAATCGAAGCCACGTTCACAATAATGGTCATCGACATTACATTTAATATGTACAACCATTTAATCTTGTTCAACGAAGTAGGCAAGACGAGATCGTTCTCTTTTGCTCTTGTCTTCGCAATTCTTTACACCGTACACGTAATTATAACAGTTTCGATAGTTGAAACTACCAGAAGCCAAATGACGAAAATTGGCTCCAGCGTTCATCGAATTCTTATAAATACTTTCGACGATCAGGTGACGACGGAGGTAAGATGAGACGATTATTTTACTATCGATGATTTATGTTGGAAATATAGAAGAAATATATTGAAATTGTAATCAATGTACGTGATTCTAGTTGGAGTTGTTCTCGTTGCAAGTGCTGCAAAAGGGTAACGTGTTCGTGATGAAGGGACTCATAATAGACGCAACTCTTTTGACAAAGGTAATAGGATATTGGATCAAAAGGAATGAAGTATTTTTATCGACACTTGTTACAGATGGCGTGCGGCATTACTACATTTTTGTTAATATTAGTGCAGTTCTTACTCGTCGAGTCTTGTTAAAGAAAAACTCCTGGATTAATGGATGAAATATATTTAAAAAATTAGTTAGAAAAATTGATAAAATTAATTCATAACAAATTTATTTCCTTCGCAATAAAGTGGCATGTTTAATCACGTTAAAAGCATCTTCAGAGCACGACGCTTCATAGTTACTTAGCTATTCCAATTATTTATTTACACGTACGTTTCATTATCGAACTGCGCGTCTTCACGCCTTGATAAATGAGTTTCATTATACATAGTGTTTTCGGCTTAAAAACGATAGTCCGTTTTATGGATTATAGTAGTCTACCTACATTTATGGCTACGTTTCTTCGGTAACATTGAATTTTTTCGAGACTGCTTAACATCTAATGACTAACATCTAATGATGTTAACGACAAAAGTCAAGGAATGTGGAAAAGTGAAGACACATAAGACATGGGAGTTATTTAGGGCAACAGACTTCGAATCGTTGATGTACCCGTGCTTTTGCATCTGCTGGCTACTCGGATATTTTCCTTACAAGTATCAACCTCCAGTATATTCACTTTCGAAGCAACGTTTTGCCTTCTCCACGTCTATGATGTTCATTTTCGTATTCTTGTTGCTTTTCATAATCTACGAAATCAACATTGGCACGAAAATAAACTACAGCATACCAGAGTCGATTCACGGGAACATGTACGCGTTCTTAGATGGGTTCGTGATCGTGGTAATGTATTTGTCAACTGACGCTCGATTATCGGTAATCCAAAATCTGTCAAGAACCAGCTGCATATTGCTTACAAAGGGTTTCAAAGATTTATCCAAAATGATTCACACGAAGGACATTTTATGTTTTTTATTTCTGGCCATCCATGTACCAAACTGTTTTAAACACGGCATTTTCGTGACAGTACGGAATCTTACCAACATATACATAATGATGACCAACTTGTCCATGGACATATTCTACACAAATTGCGTGTGCATTTTGAAAGATTGCTTCAAGAAAATGGATGAATCTATACGACAACTGAAGAAGCTCCGAATCAATGATAATATGTCGACGCAGACGTTCATGCATCATGAACGGATAAGTCCATTGGTGGTGATGAAGCTGAAGAATTTGGAGGAAAAACACTTGCAAATTAGCGATGGGGTGGAATTGCTGAATCATACGTTTATGATACGTATTACAGTCGCAGCTATTACGACGTTCAT